CGCGCCTCCCCGACCCGCCGCCGCCCCGACCCGCCTGGCTCTGCCCGGCTCTCGCGCGGCGCCCTCGAGGTCCCGGAAAAAAATGTTTATTCGTGTAACCGAGCGCGAGCGGCGCTACTTTTTCCTCTTCTTTGCCGTCTTGAGCTTCCCCTCGATCAGCTCCTGGCCCTGCTTCTTGATCTCCATCCTCGACGGCACGTAGCTCATGTCCACGTCGTCGAACTGGAAGGTGTCTGCGGAGGCGGGGGGGGGGGGGACGTCCGAGTCCGCGTGCCCGCCCGGCCCGGCCTGGGGGCCCCCTTCCCGACCGACTCCCACAGGCCCCCCGCTTCCGCCCCGTCCACCCAGGCCCGTCCGTCCCAGGCGGCCCGGGGGAAGGGCCCACACCAACTAAAACGCCTCCAACCGCCCGGCTCTGCCAGAGGCCCCGGCCCGGCTCCTCTCGTGGCCAGTGGGGCCCTTCCTTTGGGAAAATTAATACGTTCTGTGGCTTTAGCTTTTCCATGTCATCGCTCTAAAAGCCTAGTGATAGAGCAGCAGCTCTGAGTGAAGAAGCCAGATGAGAGCACAAGGCCCCAAGTTCATGCATACACACATACCTACCTACCTACATACAAGCAAGCTGTCCCTGTCCCCGCAGCCCCCACTGTCCCTCTGGGATGTGGTCAGATGGAAGGACCACCACCCTCAGCCTCTGTCTCAGCGATTCAGGCCTGTATCTGGTTCTGGCTGTGGCCCCATGGCCCCTTCCCTGCGGCTGGGAGAACCCCTCCAGGTCCCCAGCCAGAGCCTCACCGATCACATCCTCCTCCGAGTCTTCAAAGGTGATCCTGGTGTTGTATTTCTCCTTCACAGTGGACAGCTCCAGAGCATCCTTCACCTTTAGGTTGGCCTGCATGCAGGCCCACACTTTTGTCAGCCTGGAGCGGACGTGGGGGCTCCAGGCCCTCCCTCAACCCAGGGCTACCTCAGGCGTCATGGTTTTCATTTTCAGCTTGTCAGCCAGGTACGCCAGCTTCCCCTCACAGTACTCCAGCTTGCTGTACACATCCAGTGGGTCGGAGAGCACCACTTCCTTCTGCAGGCCAGAGGAGGGGCTCATCTCCACTCGGGCCACACTAAGAGACCCTGGGTGGTAGCCCCTCTTCAGGGCTGGTACCTGGTGACTTGGCAGAGTGATGCCAATGAGCCGCATGTAGAGGTTGTCGATTCCCACCTGGATCGTCAGCAGCAGCTGTTGGCTCTTGGTCAGGTTTCTGGTGGCTAGCTGGAGCCTGGCTTCCTCCTCTTCCAGCTTGTTCTTCATCTTCTTCTCAACAGACGTAAGGCTGTGGAGAGCAAGGGTGACACAGTGCCCAGGCCCAAGGAGGGTGCCGAGGCCTGGCTCTGAGCTGGGTCCCGAGCTTGGGAGCTCAGAGCTGGCACCGGGCCTAGAGCTCCTCTGCAGACACACAGGCTGACCGGCATGAAGAGGTTGCAGCCCCCTGCTGACATCTGCGGGATGGAAGCAGCCCTCGGAGCCGTGTACCTGGTGAAGCCGGGTGTCTGGTGGAATTTGAGCAGCGCCTGCTCCAGCTCCAGCTTCTTCATCAGGGCGTCCAGCTGTGCCCGTCGCGCCTCATAGTCGTCCATCTGTAGCTCCAGGTTCTCTTCAGTGTTCTTCTGAGCCAGGAAGCGGCCGGCAATGTCCTGACCAGTCCGGGCAGAGAGAAGCATGTGTGGGCCTGAAAAGTGGCCAGGGCTCCGCAGCCCTGGTTTCTCTTGGGTGGTATACGGTGGCTAGTGCCGGTTCTCTGGGCTCAGTCACGATGTTGACCAGTGGTGGGCAGCGAGGGCTGTGAGGAGCCGGTTACAAGGGTCGGGCCTGAGCCATGGCACACACCTCAAGACAGGCAGAGAGTGAGACCCTCCCCTGTGGTGAGGAGACCACATGGCACCTTGAGCTGCTCTGTCTGATCATGGACAGGCTCACGTCAGGGCGAGGGACGGGAGCTGGAGGCCCCCAGATGATCAGCTGCCAGGATTACACTAAGTGGGCTGGCCAGAAGCAGCTGTTTATTTGGCTCTTTGAGGGTGGGAAGGGAAGCAGAGCCGGAGGTGAAGGCTACGCTCTGACCATTTGGGTGTCTAGCTCTTGGCAAGCTCCACGGAGGAGCCGGGACAGGGCTGGGATGTGTCAGCTATATCCTGGGTGCGTTTCCTACTCTAGGCCGTGAGGCCTGGGAGCCCCACGTCCGAGGACATGCGAGGGGGCTAAGCCTTCCTTGTCCTTTCCAGAGGGCCTACAGGCCCCGGATAGGCCCTTCACGCCCTGGGAAGGCCAAGCAGCCTTACCCAGATTTGGGAGCACTGCACAGTGGACTTGACCTTCTCCACCAGGGCCGTCACTTCCGTCTGGTACTCCACATCCACTGGAGATGACTCTCTCTTCTTCACTGGGCACAGCAGAAAGAGAAGGGCCGTTGGCATGCGGTGACGGCCATCAGAAATCTCTGTGTGTGCCAAGTCCCTGGGAAGATACCCAGGATGCTGGAGCTCCTCAGAGCTCTCTGGACCTGGACTTGTCCGCCTCAGCAGGACCTGGCGTGGGCACCCCAACACGGTCCAGGCAGCTGAGGACCCAGCTAGTATCGTACTGTGTAGCTCTGAGAAGTCACTGGGTGGCTGAGCCCTGGGACAGCATCTCGGTGTCCCCATTAGGAGCAGCTGGGGAGAGGCGGGGGCCATGTGTGTCTCTTACCTTGGTGACCACAGGTTACACCTGGCCTCATGGTGGCCTGCCTGGGTGGTCAGCCAGAGCTAGCCTCTGTGGAGACCCTGACCAGTGCAGGGAGCTGAGACTCACCCCTTTGGGTCTCAGCGTTTATTATGTTGGATGAGAAGTCCAAGTCTCTGTGGCCCTGATGGAAGAGAGGGGAGCAGGGTGGTGAGCGGAGCTGCAGGAGCAGGGCTGTGCCCCAACACAGGGTCCCCGGGCTCTGCCCTGAGACACACCCGGCGGTACTTCTCGCTGGCCTCCTTGTTGTGGATCTTGTCATTGAGCTTCTTCTGCTGGTTGAGCCGGTTCTCGCGGGCCCGGCGCTCCTCGATGAAGGTCACCTCCTTTTGTCTCATGTTCCTCTGGGGACACAGGGATGCTGGGGAGGTGCTGTCTCACCAAGGCAGTGCTCTGTCAGTCTTTGTCCTGCAGGGCTTCTTGCCATGTCTCTCTTCCTACCGTCTCGTGCACGCTGGTTGGCTCCTGCCTTCCTCTTTGGGACCCACGGCTAGCACTCCTGCCTAACCACTGCTCTCTCCAGCTCAGTTCTCTCAGCCCTCCAGTCCTTTGCCCCCAGCCGCCTCCTGGCCTACATCAGAACCCATTCAAGTAGCCTGACATGTCTAGATGTGAATTTATTATTCCCACTCCCTCCCTCCCCCTCCCCCCGCAAGAAACCCCAAACCCTGGCCTCTTTAAGTGCATCCTGCTTTGGTGGCTAAAACCAAAATCAATGCTTCTGCATCTTAGACACAGCTTTCTCCCTCTCTAGCTCCAGCACTAGAGATCACTGGGGTGACCTTCACTGCTCCGGCCACTTCTACTCCATGACCAGCCTGCCGCCGGGGCCAGCATTTCTTCCCTAGCACCTGCTAGTATGTGCAGTCTGAGTGCAGCCTTTGGAAGTGTGGGTCTTACCATGTGTCCCTTGCCTCTCCGAGGCCCCAGGCCGCCAACGCAGAGGCTGTTGCTCCCTGTGCGCAGCCGCCTCACAGCTGCAGGCCTTGGCTTTTCTGAACCTCTCCTCTTGAGTTCTGGCTATCCTTGCTGGGCCACTACTCTCCCCTGCTGTGTGTGTGCATGCCAGTACTGAAGCTTGAACTCGGGGCCTAGGCGCTGTCCCTTAGCTTTTTCAATCAAGGCTGGTGCTCTACCACTTGTGCCACAGCTACACCTTTGGCATTTTGCTGGTTAACTGGAGATAAGAGTCTCATTGACTTTCCTACCTGGACTGGCTCTGAACTGTGACCCTGAGATTTCGGCTTCTGGGGTAGCTGGGATTCCAGCTGCTGCAGACCACTCAAACACTGCCTTCTAGGAAAGCTGCCCTGGACCTTTTGAGTAGGGAGGTCAGCACCCTGGACAGCCCCCAAACACCCATTCTCTGCTATGTGGCATCCGCCTCACACCGCCCACGTTGGGAGGACAGTGTATGCGCCCACCCCGTCCTTGCTGTCTCCCCAGAGCCTTAAAGGAGTCTTGGCATAGCCTGGGGTAATAGGTAAACCCACTCCCGGCTGCATCCACTTCATGGATTCTCGGTCCAAAGGGACTCCTCTGACCAGTGAGTGGACAGAGCAGCCGACAGGGACAATTGCTGGGTTCCTCCTGGGCTGCAGATGGTGTGGGCTGGGGGTGTTCTGGAGGGCCCTGTGCTGGTCAGGTTCAAGGGGGCAGAGGGTCCCCCGTCCTGGGCGCTGAGCTCACCTTCACCTCATCTGTAATCATCATGGCATCTTGGGACATGACCGTCATGTCTGACAGTTCTGAGCAGTAGTCAGCCACCAGGTTCTGCAGCTTGTCCAACTCCTTGGGGTACACTGCCAGCACCTGTGAGAGCCAGCAGGCAGTGGGCAAGAGGGCCACAGAGATGGGGTGCCATTACGCTCTGGGCTGGCTTCTCTGATCCCACCCAGCAGCCATACACAGAGTGCACCCGCCCGGCCTCTACCAGGCTTTGGGGGTCCCAGGCCAGGGCTGGGCTCTGGTCTGCAGCCCCAGCCCGTGCCCAGGCACAGTGCAGGCAAAAGGAAGTATGCCAGGAGGGCCAGTTCATGTGGACCAGGGACACTCACTGTCCAGCCCCGCAGCACAGAGGCACATTTACCCATGCAAGCATTCATTCATTCATTTGCTGGCCTGAGTCCTTGAACTCAGGGTTTCCTGGTCTTGCTTGGCTTTTTCCTCTCACGATTGATGCTCTACTATTTGACTCCAGTACCAGGTAACTGGAGGCAGAATCTTGCAGACTTTTCTGCTCAGACTGGCTTTGAAGCATTATTCTCAGATCTCAGCCTTTGAGTAACTAGAATTATAGACGTGAATCATTGGTGCTAGCTTTAACTCTTTTTTTTTTTTTTGTGTGCCAGTACTAAGGCTTAAGCTCAAGGTTTCTTGCTCACAAAGTTGGTGTTCTACCACTTCAGCCTGGCATTTTGCAGGTTAATTAGATATGGAGTCCTGAAGACTTTTTTGCCCAGGTTGGCTTTGAACTCTAGGTCTCAGCCTGAGCAGTAAGGATTACAGGCATGAACTACTAGCACCCAGCACAGAGGTACTTTAAGATAGAACATAGCCGGATTCTGGTGGTTCACGCCTGTTATCCTAACTACTCAAGAGGTTGAGATCTGAGGATCATGGTTCAAAGTCATCCTGGGCAGGAAAATCTATGAGACTCATTTTTTTTTCTTTGTTGGTTGAAGGGCTTGAACTCTGGGCTTGGGCACTGTCCCTCAGCTTTTCAGCTCAAGGCTAGCATTCTACCGCTTGAGCCACAGTGCCATTTCTGGTTTTCTAGTGGTTACTTGGAGATAAGAGTCTCATGGACTTTCCTGCCTGGGCTGGCTTTGAACCGTGATCCTCAGATCTCAGCCTCTTGAGTAGCTAGGATTACAGGCGTGAGCCACCAGTGCCTGGCTCATGAGACTCTTATCTCCAATTAACCACTCAGAAAACTGGAAATGGTGCTGTGGCTCAAGTGGTAGAGGGCTAAGCCTTGAGCTGGAGAGCTGAGGGACAGCGCCCACACCCAGAGTTCAAGCCCCATGACTAACCAAAAAAAAAAAGATAGAACATGATGGGCTGAGGGTCCCTCTAGCATGCATGAGGCCTGGAGTTCAAACTCTGAGTAAACCCTGGCCTACTCAGCGGATGTGCTGAGTTCAGTCTACCTGCAGGAAAGGCTAGCGCTGAAGCCCGGTGGGACTTGCTGGTTCTGAGGTGGAGGAGGGGCTCAAAACCTGAGCCAGGCGTCCTTGAGGCCATGCTCAAGGCCACGGCCAAGTCTCACTTTACTTTGGGAAAGTTAATTCCTGATCTAAACAGTTGATAGCACACCTCTTCTGCAAGGTTGCTATGGGGACTGAGGGAGAATGTAAAATGGCATGTTTCCTACAGGGCCAGAGGCAGCAATATCAAGGGGATTACTATTTGAATCTTTAACTAAGTTATTAGTAATTTGAATATTTGCCTTTTTTGGGGGGAAATATGGATGAACATGGTAATTTTTATTTCTTGTTCTTGTTTTTCTTTTCTTTTTTTTTGTTAGTCTTGGGGCTTTAATTCAGGGCCTAAGCGCTGTTCCTAAGGCTCTACCAGTTGTTTAATTAGAGATAAGCGTCTCAGCTTGCTGCTGGTGGCTCACACCTGTAATCCTAGCTACTCAGGAGGCTGAGATCTGAGGATTGTGGTTCAAAGCCAGCCTGGGCAGGAAAGTTCGTGAGAATCTTATCTCCAATACCCCCCCTCGCCCCCCCCCAGAAAACCGGAAGTGGTGCTGTGGCTCAAGCTGTAGAGCGCTCGCCTTGAGCTGAAGAGCACAAGGACAGCACCCAGGCCCAGAGTTCAAGCCCTACGACCGACGGGGGGGAGGGGGGGGGAAGCACCCAGCTGAAGAAGGGAAAATGGGCAGGGTCTTTTGGTTAGGAGGCCAGGCAAGAAGGCAAAGTGGAAGCATGAAGCTGAGCCCCGGGGCAGGGCCAGGAAACAGGACCCACGCAGGAAGGAGTTGCATTCCTTGTCCCCACACCAGCTCCGCCTGCTAAGCCGTTCCTCCTGCATGCTGCCCTTTCTCAAGGCAGAGGTGTCTGGGGTTGCGTTGTCATCTCTGGACCCTCAGCTCTCAAGGCTTCCATTTCAGTGCCTCTCCTGCCACCCTTCAACTCCTCCCCATCTGCTCTCCACTGTGGGTATCTGAGGGCTTGCCACATTGTAACTCATGGCTCTTAGGAGCTTTTCCTCATGTCCTGTGCAGAGAGCAGGGAGGCCAGGTGGGCAGCAGGCAGCAAGCTGTGGCCAGCAGGAGGACTGGAAGGCGAGAAGGACTTGCCCTGTAGCATGTTAGGGGACGTCTGGCCACTTCTGACCCTCAGAGGCCCTGTGCTTAGCTGTGTTGCGGCTAGGTTTTGAGACAGAGCCTTACTGTATAGCTAAGCTGGCCTTAAACTCACTGTCTTCCACTCTTAGCCTTCTGAGTGCTGAGATTACAAGCATGTGCTTATCACGTCCAGCCTTAATTAAGTATGAGTAATTCTGATAGACCCTACAACATGCTTTTTGGAACAGCAAAAATGAAGTCTGTATAAGAATGTTTTACATGGGGCTGGGAAGGTGGCTCAGTGGTAGAGCACTTGCCTTGCA